AATAAAACTGCTCTGTGTGGTAAATAACAAATTCGTTCGAATAGCAGTAACTTTCCCTCACTAATAAAATGGTATAGGCTAAACCAAACAATACGAGAGAGGCACATATCATTTCTTGTGCGTCTAGGCAATACTTGAAAAACTTGCACCCAGAGTGATGCGTTCGTTCTAATATGGTATTTTTGTTTTTGACAGCTTGCCCCTAACGATCTCATATGTAAAGAGCTTTTCGGTAACATAAATGGCGGAAAATCTTTGCACTCACTACAGGATTGAATACAGGTATCCATTCTTCTCGAATTTTACGCATTGAAAGGTTGTTATTCCTGTATGGTTTCTAGTGGCTTTTGAAATTTTCATATGGTAAAGTGACTTTTTCGGCTTTCCTAATTACACTGAATATGCAAGAATAGTATGTTACGATCACGTCGGGTAAAGCTGTACTTCGAAAGTTTTGCCGTCCTTAGATTATTCAATACTGTAAAAGTGTAATTCAGTGTGTAATTCGTACGCATTCCTATGATACAGACTCATTGGTTTCTAGCGGACTATGAGATTGCATTTCTAAAGTATTTTGAGTGATGATCTGACGTGTTGAATGCATGATTGTCAATTATCTTTGCTTGTTTGATGTTGTAATTTTGCACGGTTTGCTAAATTGTGATCAACACAAGTAGAACGACCAGCTTCGTAAGCTTAGAACGTATTTACAGGTTTTTTACACAGTAATTCCATATTTACTGGACAAAGGTTGCATTGATGTTCTTCCGACCGGCAGTAAAATCCTTGCCAAATTTCGGCATCCTTTGGGGTTTGCGGGGTGTATAAATAAGCAGCATCGTCCGGTCAGAACGGAGACGTTTAATCCAACGCTTCGTGCATGCTCTCTGCAAGTTAAGAACCCTCGCAACATTTCTTTTTCTTTTTCCCTATCCAAGTTACCCTCAATTTCCAGTGGCAGTCTGATTTTTCCTCCCTTCATTCCGATCGACCTCTATTTCAGGACAGGCCCATTGTATTCATTGTTCATTTGTTCTCCTCCTGAATACGCATGAAATATTTTCCTCTGGACATGAAGCAAACTTCGAAAGTTGATCAATGTGAATCGTAATTTCCTGTCGATATGCACATCTACGTAGTATGTCCTTATTATCTGAAAAAGGTTTCATGAAATTCTGTTGTGTGGTTTGAGAGGAGTTGCGATGACAAAAGGTTGCAGTAGTATATTGGGCAAATAAGTTCAAAGGGGCGTAACTCCTGGAAAAATATTGAATCGTAATTTCCTGTCGATATGCACATCTACGTAGTATGTCCTTATTATCTGAAAAGGTTTCATGAAATTCTGTTGTGTGGTTTGAGAGGAGTTGTGATGACAAAAGGTTGCAGTAGTATATTGGGCAAATAAGTTCAAAGGGGCGTAACTCCTGGAAAAAAAATTGAATCGTAATTTCCTGTCGATATGCACATCTACGTAGTATGTCCTTATTATCTGAAAAGGTTTCATGAAATTCTGTTGTGTGATTTGAGAGGAGTTGCGATGACAAACTGTTGCAGTAGTACATTAAAGTAAATAAGTTCAAAGGGGCGTAAATCCTAGAAAAAGAATTGAATCGTAATTTCCTGTCGATATGCACAACTAAATAGTATGTCCTTATTATCTAAAAAGGTTTCGTGAAATTCTGTTGTGTGGTTTGAGATGACAAGAAATAGGACTGACGGACTGACGGACGAACAGACGGACGGGTCAAAAACATTATACCCTCCGCAACTCGTAGAGTGGGGTATAATAAGGCAATAAACTCATCATAGATACCAGGTATAAAGAATCTTACCTTAGACGTGTGTTTCGTCTACAAAAGACTCATTTGTGAAAGTCGAATAAAAAAAAATGAAAAAGGCCGAATAAAGTACGAAGTTGAAGAGCATTGAGGACCAAAAATTCCGAAAGGTTATACCAAATACAGCTGAGTTAATCAGGAATCTGGAAAAGAAATCCTTAGTTTTTCGAAAAATTTAAAGTTTTGTAGACATTTAATTTATAACTATTACCTATATCAATGATACTGTAAACCAACTAATTTGTCGCGAGTAGAAAAATTACGCGAATATAAATCGTCGCGAATATGTAAAACTAAGATCTTTTTTATTTAACTACATCAAGTTAATTAGAGAATCGCGAAAGTGCTAAACGCGAAATAAAGTATCCGCGAAAATAAGTTGGTTTACAGTAATTCATGTCAATACATACGTGCTGACTACTGTGCTGGTGATACCTTAACAAAAGAGAGGCGAATGATACCAAAGGGACATTCAAACTCATAAAACGAAACTGACAACGGCATGGCAAAAAACGAAAAAAAAAGACAAATAACAGCATACAAAACACAATATTGAAAACTAAAGACTGAGCAACACGAAAACCACGAAAAACCGTGTAAAAAGTAAACAATTATAGGTCAAAGTACGGCCTTCAACACGGAGCCTTGGCTCACACCGACCAGCAAGCTATTAAGGTCCCAAAATGTTTAGTGTAAAACGAGTCAAACAGGAAAACCAACGGTCTAATCTATATAATAAACAGCTGCGCCATACGCCCGTCGCTTTTTCAATAGATATAAACCAGTCACCAAAATTTCATGAAAAAACTGCTCAAAGCATTTTTGAGTAATTGTCCGAAAACTGGAAAATCACCCTTTTTTAATGAATATAACCCCATAACTCGGAAAAGTAAAATCTAAAATTTATAAAAATCAAAAGGGAACTAAAATTAATAGACATAAACAATTCACCAAAGTTTCATGAAAACTGTTCAAAGCATTTTTGAGTTATTGTCCGAAAACTGGAAATTCCCCCTTTTTTAATGAATAAAACCCCACAACTCGGAAACGTAAAATCTAAAATTTACAAAAATCGAAAGTGAGCTCACGTCAATAGATATTAACAATTCAACAAAGTTTCATGCAAATTGGTTACAGCGTTTATTAATAATTATCCGACATGTTGACGACGGACGGACGGACAACGGTATACCATAATAAGTCCCGTAAACGGGCGTATAAAAAACGGGAAACACGTAAGAACCACATCAACAAACGACAACCACTGAAACTGACAACACACATGTTCACGTTATACTTTATTAAACCATTGTGGTGACGTCAGCCTATTCATTTACCGTGGATTCTTTTTCTAGAATCAACGCTTCCTAAATCTGCCGCTGAAATGGACTCGCCAAATTATATTCAATTGTTTCCTTTGTGTGTCTAATTTCATTAAGTTTGAATTGGCTAATTTACTGATTTCTGTTCACTAATGGAATTAATTTAAAAACTTACCTTTAATTTTTGTAATTTGTATATGCCTTCACTGGGAATCGAACCCTTCCTTGAAATGTGTTATGAATGACTGACATAATTACATCGACGAAACCTCTCGGCTACCAATTGGTTACAACTTAGATGTCTATTTTATATATATAAATGAACATCGGACACACAGGGGTTGTACCTTTATATATACACAATGGGCAGTCGTATAGTATAAGTTGGTAGCCGCGAGGTTAGCATGCTTAAAATCAACGAGTTAAAAGAAAGGGATTTGTCGGTTTAGGTTCGAATCCCTATATTATCTCTGTTGTCCCAATTCTGTTTTTTTTTTCCTAATTTTGCAGTTCATAGTGGATATTTTTGTAATAATAGCGTGTTTTACCGTTTATTTTTTGGATTATTGTTGGCTATTTCACATGTTTGAAACAAAAATGATTACATTCTATTTGTCAATTTTTGTTGTATAAATATAGTATGATTTCATCTGTTTTACTACATAATTTTACAAATATTTGTTCGCAAATTCCTATGCTAGAAAATCGTGATGTGCCTAGAGTGCTAGAAATTTCGGTAACATACTTATTATATATATACCCTATATATGCTCTTTGGTCGGGTTGTTGTCTCTTTGACACATTCCCCATTTCCATTCTCAATTTTATTAGAAATAAGTTCGAATATGTCTTATTTTGTAAAAACAGATAATATTCAGATGCCTGATAACATAAAGATCTTTAAAGGTAGAAGTGTTATATTTGTATTTTGTCAACCAATTAATTGTGATCTGAGAATTATCAATGCATCGTTGGACACGATAACATGGTTATTTAAACTCACTTACAATACCTTCTAATTAAGAAAAGACTTTAATTTTGAAAAGAAATTAACACTATAGTTTAAGTTATAGATACAATGGATAAGCGTAGATTCATGAAAAACAAACCATTCGCCCTCCGGGCTCATGGTTTCTTTTTCAAGAATCCACGCTTATCCATTGTATCTATATAACTTAACACGGAGGTGCTGCTGTTCCAACAATGAGCGACTGAAATCGACACTACACAAGAGAACGACCATGAGACATTCGGGGGGCGGAGGAGGAGGATTTTGAAAATAAAATATCAAATAGATTAACTTTGTATGTGGTAATGCTATTTCTAATTACATTACATCGATTACATTATATATTAAAAAAAAAAACGCCAACAGAAAGTTTGTACTTTATTAAAACAGGACTACTATTATTTCTTTCAGATAAGACGCGAGTCTCATAGCAAGATCTTGTACAACCTAGCATAGGAAGCACACAAGTCGCCTGATGACAAACTCAAATAAATGTATGTTCTCCAACGTCTTTGGATGATACCGCGAGAGATATTGTTACAAAGGAAGAAAAAAATTTCCCAAATATCATTTGCGATTTTGGGAAATAGGATAGAGACTGAAAGAAATCGATCATTAGATTCCACGGTGGAAGACACCATGATTGTGCCCCAACTCCTTTTATTTTTGTCTATCAACATGATACCATTACAGTCAATTTGTGTGATTCTATCCAAACTATCTTTAACAACATCACAGGAAAGTGTTCTTTCAATTATAATGCTACTCTCACCACCTCGTTTCACTTCTCTACAAACATCATCAATAACATCAGCAGGGATGCTGCCGTCATCAGACATATGAAAGGATGCTTCCATTGCATATATTTGACTTTGTCTGGTATAAAGTAAAATAGATGTTGCAATCATTATCATCACATACTTCTGCCGTGATGGTGTCATCGCCATCATCACAGACTTCTGCCAGGTTGTTACCATCGCCATCATTACAGACATCTGCCAGGATGTTACCATCACCATCATCACAGACATTTGCCAGGATGTTACCATCGCCATCATCACATACTTCTGCCAGAATGTTACCATCGCCATCATCACAGACTTCTGCCAGGATGTTACCATCGCCATCATCACAAACATTTGCCAGGATGTTACCATCGCCATCATCACAGACTTCCGCCAGGATGCTACCTTCGCCATCATCACAGACTTCTGCCAGGATGTTACCATCGCCATCATCACAGACATTTGCCGTGATTATGTCATCGCAATCATCACAGACTTCTGCCAGGTTGTGACCATCGCCATCATTACAGACATCTGCCAGGATGTTACCATCACCATCATCACAGACATTTGCCAGGATGTTACCATCGCCATCATCACATACTTCTGCCAGAATGTTACCATCGCCATCATCACAGACTTCTGCCAGGATGTTACCATCGCCATCATCACATACGTCTACCATGATTGTTGTTACTATCGCCATCATCACAGACGTCTACTATGATTGTTGTTACTATCGCCATCATCACAGACGTCTGCTGAGTTTTAGATATTTTATGTTTATCTTAAGAACTCATTGAAATTTCAAAGAACATATCAATGTTTTTCAATTCTAAAGCTAACCTCAACATGCTCACAGATTGCACTTAATTTCAAAAAGTCAAAAAAGCATGATGTTCTGGTAAACGATACAGTGTGATAGGAAAATGGTAAATACAAAAAACCTCCTAACAATTAAATTAGTTGACATGGCCCACGTCAGCCATAAGGGAGGTCGAAACTTTTATGTCAGAAGAAGCACAAAATCCCACATATGTGACCTGAAATTTACAACGAAAGCATCGGATATCTTCAGTCTGTGGTATCTTCTTCAGATGTTTCCAACTAGCTATCTGAAGATACTGGGAAAAATAAACATGCATCCTTGTCATATGCAGAAACCTTCAGTTGAGGAAATAGAAGATACAATTTCCGATTACAAGCAATAGAAAATGAGTGTAGGAAATATCTTTCAAAGTAAAATATTCAACCTTTTATGTTTTCCTGTGCCATAATATTTGTGATAACTTAATTATCGTTTTTTGAGGAGCCGATGAATTGTTGCTTCTGTATAAGTATTCAATACTGGTGGTTCTGACTCCGTATTTTCTGTTTTATTACATTATATTTGATCGTCCAATTCTCTAGTCAGTATGTTAAGCCTTTAATTTTGTTCTAGACGTAATTCCTCTTTGTTAATTATTTAAACTTAAAACACATTCATCCATTTATCGTTATTCGACTCGTTATTGATTTTTTTTAAATGACTGCTTCTGTTTTCTGGTAAACAACCTACCGTTTTGTTGTCGTTGTTGTATATAAGATATTTTAGGTTAATGTGTTTTATACATTTCGACGAGCTTAATCTTAAATTTTATAAATTCAAAAGTAAAGATTCGTTAAACATGCTTTTGCGGAGAGTACTTATTAAAATAAAAAATAATCAGATAAACATATTTTGTGTTTTGTATATATTTTCAATTTGAGTCTGCTCGTGCTACAGTTCAGGATTTTACTTTATATGCAGTTTCTAAGCAAAAGTATAAAACCTGTTAACTTTCTCGAGAACTATATAAGTTCGATCATGTTTTGTATTTCCTTATTTAGAATATCCACAATTTGAAGCTTTTCGTTTGATATAAACGTTGAAATCAATTTAAGAATATACTTTATTACAAAGAAGGTACACACTATTGTTTTTCTTCTTACATAAAAGGGTTGGAAAGGACATGCATCAAAGTTGTATATATCTAAAAACCAAATAGTCCCTATGCTTAGCTGTAAATAAAAATAACACTTTATAATTTTAGTACTAAAGAATCGCTTTTCTGGATTTACCGTCATCAGGGAATCTCAAACCAAATTACTAGTATGTAAAAACCAGGAATGTTTGAATACGTAAAGACGTTAGTATTTATTGCTACCAAACCAAAAGGGACATAGAAAGAATATCCAGTTGTAACTTTTAGAATATGTAAAATATTTGAACAATTTCAGTTTCAGTGACTGCATAAAATAGATTTTTTAACATACTTTTTTCAGTTGCTTTGAGTTTAACAACTATGTTTAGAAAACCATTTCAAGGTTTACATATATATCTGTCAGACATGGTTCACCTGACCTTGGCCTCATTTCAATGTTCAATAATAAACTCTTCGTTTCCGTGATTATGTCAGTTTCACCATAGTGGGACATCCTTTTGGTTATGCAGGATGTTTAAATACGCAGCCACGTCAGGTCAAAGTGGGTACGTTAAATCTGGTCTCGTGTAATCTCTCTCCCTCTCTGCACGTAAAGAACCCGTGGAACAACTCGTTGAGGAGTTCATAGATTGCCTGTTACAAGACTAAATTTACTGTCCCTATCCAATATACCCCCATTTTCCAGTGGCAGTCCAAATCTTCTGCCCTTCATGCAGGTCGACCCTAATTACAGGACGTGTCTAATGTATTTATTGTTAATTTATTCGAGTTCTGAACATGCATGAAATAATTCCAGTGGACGTAAGGCAAACGACAATTAATTAATAAAAGTTACTTGATCCATGTTAAGTTTTCGTTGTAAAGTTTCTCTTATACTATGTGCAGTGGATCAATTATAACTGTTTTATAGATTGATTGTAGGGACGACCGAATATGTGCATTGGACAGAACTTATCTGATCTGACCTTATTTTCTTGTTTCATTCATTAACCAATGTTAAATTAGGGATAGATCAGCTGCACTTTTTTAATAGAATAGTTGTCGCAGTTACTTGTCCGTCTGATGTGCTTTATCATACCTTGAACTCATATTTATGGTTCGTTCATTTTTGGGCAACGTATAATTTCCATTAATAGGTCAGTTTCTCAATTACAATAAATGATAATTTAACTTTATTTGTTATGTATAAACGGTTTTATGGGATTCAAATGTCCCTTACCTCATTTTCCTGGTTCATTGGTCAACTTAAGTTTTAATAATGGGGTCATTTTCTCGGATACTATAACAAGTATATCAGTCATATTTAGTGTTGATACTCAGTAAATTGTATATGTCCGTCCAACAGAATTCAATTGACCAGTTACTGGACCTTATTTTTATGGATCATTACGCATTATAAATTTTTTATGATTAGAGTCTTATTCTCCGTATCTGTTAGTTATGATAAAACGATAATTTGTTCATAGAATGATTAGTAGAAGTACATTTCTTTCGGAGAGGGTTTAATCGACATAGACTTAATTTTCATAGTTCCGTTCTCTTAATAACATTACTTTTGCACTTACGAAGTTTCATCTCAATTGGGATTTTGAAAATGAATACTCAGGCCTGGTTAGAGGTAAATAATCTGCAATGATGTTAGATGGTTCATATTAGATTTAAATTTTTAAATCATCCCTTATTTCAATGCCAGTCGATGTCGATATTGACCGACGGATTTCAGCATTTCAATACTAATTCACCTGATATAAAAATTTTTAACTTCGTATGTGGCAATGTCCCCCGCGTTGCACATATTTTTTTGTCCATGGTCCAAGGGCAATAACTAAAAAAAATCCTTTTTTCATTCTTTAAAACTTTTTTTATAAAGATCTCAGAGAAATGAAGGCTTGAGAGAAAATGCAATACAATAAAAACAATTGATCGGCACTGATTTTTCAACTTGTCCGAGTCATTGTTGATATAAACCTATGATATAAGTTTCATAAAATTGAACATATGTGAGACCTCACTATGCAATTTTTATATAATTAATGTTTCCAAGGGGCATAACTCTTTTAAAAATAGTTCATCTTCACTAACTTTCAAACTAGTCAGAGACATTGCTGATATATATCTATGATCCAAGTTTTATAAAAAAATCTGGCAAGAATTGTACACGTGAGAGCTCTAACAGCATCGGACGGACAGACGCTCGAACGCGTGCGCGAGGGACCATTATTTTAACTGTTCATCGATTATATTATATGAAAAAAAAATCCAACGGAACGTTTATACTAATTTTTTTTCATAGAAGACAAGAGTCTCTTTGCAAGATCTTGTACAACCTAGCATGGGGAAACAGGCAAGTCGCCTGATAATGACAAACCCGAAACAAATGCGAGTTGTCCAATGTCTTTGGATGATACCGAGAGAAATATTGTTACCAAGGAAGAAAAAAATGTTCAAACAATCAATGGCGATTTTGGAAATATAATAAGAAACCTATCATCGGATTTCACGCTGGAAGACACCATAATGGCGTCCAGATGTTATCATCGCCGTCATCACAGATGTATGCAGGGGTATTTCCATCGTCATTATCACAGAATTCTATCCTGTTGACGCCATTGTTCCAAACTTCTGCCACGATAATGCCTTTGTCACCATTACCGTCTCTATGGATACATCCGGAAACAAGCCGTAAAGTGTATCTCTCCTGAATTTACTACCCAACCTGACCACTTACTATGCCACACAATACAGTTTATTTATTGCTAAAATGGACATCAATATCATCAGGTTTTACCAAACTAACCAAGGTAATGTCAAAGTATTTGTCAAAGGGGCAACGGTAGAGGTGTTGCAAGGCATCTTTCACAATCGTTATCTAAATAGAAAGTTGCTATCAAACTTTACAATGATAAACACAATACTTACACTATATTTCACAAGGAACAGGAATCCTACAAGTCCCCAATAACACAAATCTCGCACCCAGTTTTTGGAATGCTTCAAAACAACTGCTTTCTATTGTGTTTTATTGAAGAACTCATTGCAAATTCCATAGTGCTATATCAACTTTTTTCAATTCCTTCCGTCTTAAACTGAACATGGTGCCAGATTGCACTTAATATTTCAAAAAAGTTTAAAAAGAATTCATGACGCTGATTTTCTTGTTAACGATATAAAGCGTGATGTCATTATGGCAAAGACAAAAGACTTAAAATCAAATCCTTTGACATGGGCCAAATCAGCCATGAGGGCAGTCGAATCTGTCATAAGAAGAAGCATACAAATTCCAACATATGGGACCCGAAGTTAGCTTTGGGCAGATCGTTGCATCTTCATTCTGGGGTATCTTCTTAAGATGTTTCAACAAGCCATTTGAAGTTACTTAGACACATGTGCATCAGTCCTTGTCCTGTGCAGATACCATCAGTTGAGGAATTAGTAGATACATTATCAGATTACATGAAATAGAAAATTAATGTAAAAATATCTTTCAAAGTTGATCATTCTAATGGTTTATTTGTTATCCTGTGGCATACTTTATGTGATAACTAAATTACAGTTTTAAGGAGCTGATCAGTTGTTGCTTCTGTAAATGTTTTAAATATTGGTGGTTCTGAATCGTGACTTTCTGTTTTATCATATAAACTTGATCATCAAATTCTCTTGTCATTTTGTTAGGCCTTTTGTTTTAAGTACACATTTTACTTAATTATTTTAGGAAGGGCTCATGTTGCATTTTGTTTTAGAC